ATCTGGGTGTCAGTGAAGCCAGTGGAACACATGTGGCGTACATCCATCCAAGAGCCAAAATTGTCTCGACCTCAAAACCCCAGCAAGCCTTTACTGGTCTATCAGCCAAGTAAAAGGATATATCTACTGCTACATAGAGCAGACCTTTCTGCAGTTCTCAGGACTTTACTTAGTCAAGTGAACTGCACAGAAACAAAGGAAAAGCAGTTTCTGGCAAGTAAAATCAGCAGATCACATGGCCATCGGGCCAGTCGCTCCAAACAAGACATAAGCAGAGCAAACATTATTGTCAGTGCTTTCAATGGGCAGAAGTCACTGTTCAGCCATGCCAGTGTTTCATAATTTCAAATTTAATCACTGTGCCCCTGTGGCTCCCAGAGTACCTGTATGTTGCTGCTAAGCCAGTGTTATAGCTCCCCTGAGAGTGCCAGGGCCTGGCTCATCAGGCACAGGTCTCACAGAAGCCCTGTACTGCTCATCTTTTTGAAGGTGGAATTAACGGAGACAAGGAGGGGTCAGGGCTGACAGGCCCTGCTGAGCTCCAAGCACGGCAGCACGTGGATCTTCAGCAGCTCTTGGAAACAGGAGATTATCTCACTGAGAGGAGGTTTCCCAGGGGTTCTCCTTCCACAAAACAAAGAATGTCTTAAAAGAGACACAGTGTTGTCTCTAATGCAACTGTTTGTTTAGTCCACCCATTTTAGCAGTAGTATTCCAGAGGGAGCTGAGAAATATTTTTTTGCACAGAAACAAGGTGTGAAACCAGCTGCTTTCCACAGAGGCTGCAGGAGGCTTAGACTGCTTCAGTGTAGGTAAAGGATCTGGGGTACAGAAGTCCCAGCCTCTCAACATGGAAGGCCACTGCTGAGAAAGAAGCAGGAACTGCTGGTCCTCACTGACACTGAGCATGTCAGGAGCCTGGGTTCTGTATTCTTCTCAGAGATGTGATATAGCTAATCCACTGTTTGGCAGCATTTTCTTTCAGAGAAAGACAGGGACTTGCTACATCCTGCTGAAGTCCAAGCTGTTACCTCCTTTGGAGGTTATGGCTATTAGCATTATCGCCAGCTGTGGTGGCATGACCCCAGTTGTCCTTCCTCATAAGCCCCTCTCTGCCATTGTATTTCCTTAGTGTGCTCAGGCTTTATGAGGCCACACAAATTTTACTCTAGAGGTTGATCCTATTGAGCAATTGTAGCTGCAACTCCCTCAGTTGTTTGTGAGCAAGGAGACACTGTGGTTATAAGAAGATCACAACTATCAGCCCTGTTTTACCATTTTTATGAGAGTTAATGGAACAAGGTTTGGGGACTGAAGGAGAAAATGGAATATGAAAAGGAAAATGAAAAGAGGCTGTGAGGAAAGCATGTCATTTCTAAATGAATGCTCTCTGCAGAGGAATTGAATCTTTTCACAGCCGAAAATGGATCTTAAATCTGATGCCTTAGCTTGTTTCAGCTTCTGTAATGAAATAGAGTTTTCCTAATACCCTGTGACCTGAATTTCTCCCTGCTTTATGGGTGCTATTCCTTGACGTACAAACCTGTATTTTCTCAAGTCAGCATTTGATGATGGATGTCAAAATACAGGTCATGTATTATGCATATAGCATTACCGATTTAAGGTGTTTACTTGTCAAGTTGAAGAAATTCAAAAATGTCACATTCACTGAATCTGCACAGCTGTCACTTGTAGTTTTTCATGCTTTTAAATAAAAGTTGTGATAAAGCAGGTTAGTTTTCCTTCACTTTTTTTTTTTTTTTTTTTTTTTTTTTTTTTTTTTTTTTTTTCTGCTAGAAAAAAGAAAGGCTATCTATGGAATTTACATTTTAACTTGGGAGCAAGAGTGTGGCCTGAAAGTGGACAATGCCTTTTGCCTCCTAGCTCATAGGCACACCAAATCTCCAAGAATTCCAATTCTTCTTTTTCTCCAAATATTCCAATATTTTTATATTATTCAAAAGCAGATTTTTAGAGGTGTCTTCATGAGGCAGGGAAATTAAAATAAAATAGCAGACGTTTCTTACATCTCCCCAGACCATAGAATGAAAAATACTAAAGCGTGAGTCTGTGTTTCACTCAAGGAGAAAACAAAATCCCTTTAACATGCTTCCTGCATTTCAGACTGAATGCACTGTGTATGCAGTGTGCAATTATAGAGCTGCTGTCAGCCTATGTATTACAGAAATGACACTTTTACCTCAATCTTCTAACACCATCATAGGAAGACAAATATTTGAAAGGTTAGAGAGAGGTGTCTGCAAATAGCCACCTATGGAGAATGTATGTGTGTGTGCACGCAGTCGTGTGCACCTGTGTGGACGTTGCAGTAGTGGCAGGGCAAGAAACGTTTATGCATTTTGCGGTAGTATTTGCTTTTAGCTGATAGGGGAAATGCTTTTATTATGCATTTAGCGGTAGTATTTGCTTTTAGCTGATAGGGGAAATGCTTATGTGCTTATTCCATCTGAAGAGCCTGCTTTACTGAAAGTTGTTTTAGGGAGAGAGAGATGGGAAGAGCCCTCGGGAAAAGGAGGTGTCTAGGGATGCTCCCAGCAGTACAACCCTAGGTTGCTTGGAAGCAAGAATAGTTATCTCTCATATAAGTGAGTGCCAAAAGTCTTGCCGTTGCCATTTTGACTTGTAATTCTCCGCACAACCTGGTTAGGCGTGCCACTGTAACAGTTCAAGTAGTTCACAGCTACTTGAACTTTTTTAATGTAGTGTCACAAAGACCTTGTTGTGCTGTTCCTGTAGTGCAATGGAACACAAGACTTAGACATAGGAGCCTGCTGCAGGAGGAGGTCTCACATTATCTACCTGTCCTCAGATAGCATTCCCTTTTTGGGGGGGCCCCACTTTCATTTTGTTCTGCTGTTCTGAGAGTGTCACAGTTACCTCTGACCTTTGAATTGGCTCCTGGAAAATTTCCATTTAGACTCACTTTGTGAGTATGAGTGTGAGCCTAGAGTCCTAGGCTCTGTCATACAGCAGTATGGAATCCAAGAGTCAAAATGGCTATCAGTTCTGGTGCCAGACACAAGGAAATGTCTGCAAAACGATATCAGTTGGAAATGCAAACCACTGTTACCATGCTGGTCTCAACGAAATAGTTTCAGTGTAATGACTAGTATTAAATGACCAACTGTTCATGCAGCCAACATTTCTGATTGTCTCTAAGAAATCTGCAGTCAAAAGATTTTCTGTGCACTGATAATATGATATAGAAGTGCTTTGCTGTCTTAGGTTTGCCTGTGGTAATGCTTTTATCTTACAAGTCTGCTGAAGATACCACATTCACCTCTTTTCTCTTAAGGAACAACTTTACAGACTTTTCACTCCCTTATCCTAATGTGTATAGCTTCTCATGATAGAAGGAAATTCGTACTGGCACCTTTTGGAAGGCTGAGTAAGTCTCTTTTATCAGTGATTCTAGTTTTATTAGTTATCTATTCTATATTTGATATAGAAAAAAACTAGGGAGAAGTGAAATGAATGACAAATAAGAATTAAAATCCCATTACATCAAGAAGTCCAGGTTGAGTGGTCAAAATTTTTGGAACAGTTTGGCAGCAAAGGTAATCATCACTGGAAAAAAACAAAAATTCCTCGCAACAACAATACAGAACCAGTACCACAGTCAGAAATCTGGACCTGGATGTCCAGTGTGAGGTTAAAGAACTCAATGCAGGAAAATGCAGGCCCAGTGCAGGGAAAAAAAAAAAAAAAAAAAAAAAAAATTATCATAAATGTGTATTTTGAAGGGAGCTTGGGTCAGTCGTGTTCCAAATGACAAATATTTCCTTTAAAATATCACCTTGATTTAGTGGTCCTAAATGAAATCCTAAAGTCAAACGCTGGCTTCACCATCACTTCTGCAGTGATGACATTAAATGAACATTCCCATGCTTTCTACAACTGCAATGAACAAGGAAGATGGAATGCATGTGAGCCTAACTGTTACATGAGTATTTAGTACATAGGTATAACTACCTATCTTCCACCAACAACAATCAAACTCCAAAAAGCTTTGCCTGGTTATTCTTTAAATTATAAAAGAAAAAAGAAAATAAAATAAAAGATGCTCATTGTCAAGCGATTCATTTCCAACCATGCAGAGAATCAGGCTGAAAGCACAGTCTTTGTTAGAGGTGAACCTTGCTGCTCTCCATGTCTTTTCTTTCTTTGCGTGCCATCTGATGCGTTTCCTCTTCCACCTTTGTTTCCCATACATCCTCAAAAATGTAAGTCTTTTTCTAGTTTCTTTTCATGTGTCCTTGTTAAACGTTCTTTGAAAATCTTCGGTTTGTTTTTCTGTAAGAATAGGCCTTTTCATCCCAGTATTCCTATAACTGGGATTCCCCATAAAAATGCAGGGTATGCAAGGTATGTCTGAAAAGCAAAAAAAAAAAAACATTGTGTTGTACTGTTCCTGGAAAATGACAAATCCTAAATCCTGCATGTTGATCAAACATCAGACTAACAAATGGAAGCTTACAATAGGATAATGGAAGTTCCTTGTGGTTGTACTACTGTGTACAAACAGTACTCTTTGTAATGGTAATTGAGGTTTAAGGAAAGACACCTGTTATTTGAAACACTAAAATAAACCTAGCTAAAATCAAAGTCCTTTTGTATATTTATTGTTTTTATTACTACTTAGGCAAGCACAACATTTAGCTACCAAATAACCTGCTTTCTAAATGACTTGTATATTTCTGAAAGATTATGCTTTTAAGAAATAATTTGTGAAAATCAAGTCAATTTAAAAAACTAAAATAAAATAAAAAGAAAGGCAGATGTTTTTACTGTACCTTCCCTCCCTGCCAAAAAAAAAAAAAATGGTTATGAAATTCCCTGCTGATGGTCTCTTTTTTCCCTCTTTTTTTTTTTTTTAAATTTCTGTCAGTATATCTTTCTACAGCGTAAATAAACTTTTTGCATACAGAATCTCCTATTCTTCATGTTATTTTGTTTTATTTATTTATTTATTTATTCAGGCTTTACACCCCCTGGGATGGATAGGTCATCTCCAGACAACAGTCCGGTCCATGGCCTGTTACGTCAACCTTCCATTACAACAGGAGCCAACATCCCTATTATAACAGAGCTAGGTAAGACAAGCTAACATTTATCTGTTCGTGTACTATTCCATTCATGTACTCTTCCCTGTCTGTTTTCCCACCTCCCTTCTTATGTGACCGCATAAGAAAATTACCTAAATTGTATCTTATACTGCCATGTTTTCTACTCTGATAACTATTGTGAATTACTCCTTCTAAAGAAATATTAGTAACCGTTGTTTCAGTTTATGCATAAAATTGAATTATGTTTCTCTCTTTCCTTTGGGTTTTATTAATTTTCCTAAATAAACACCATCAGACAAGATGCTTTTTACATAGTGTAACAAATAAACAGGGTTCTTTGGGATAAGGTTAGGAAAAGAAAAAAATAAAAATAAAATAAAAAGAAGCACAGTAAGTATGAGCAGACATTTCCTGTGCACTTAATCAATAGTAAGAGGACGTTTGTTTATTTCTTCATGGGCCAGAACTGTTTAATCATGTGTAACCAAACTCTGTATAATAGTATGAGAAATTTTACCCCTGAGAATATGATGATGGTAGGTAACCAGGCTCTGATTTCCACTCTGGCTGTGGGTATTTATGTTGTCAAGTGGTGTGATGTGAAGTGCAGAAGCTGGTCTGTTTTCTTCACGGCAAATACAAACCTGATTTGTGGTCCTTTGTCCTTTTATTTTCTTTTTCAGTTTTATTTTTTAGAGCCTTACCTGTCTTTTTCCCTTACTTTATTCTCTTTCTGTACTTTCTTTCCCCCTTAAATACTTTACCTATTAGCTAAGCCTGGCAAACTTCTGCCTTTGGTTTCAATCAGTCAGGAAAAAAACAGTGGAACCCACATTCTAATGATAACTGAACTGGGTAAGAAGTGCCTTTTTCCTTCACATCACTGTCTTATTTTCCACTGTTGTTCTTACTGTCATCAGCTTTTTCTTTATTTATCTGGCTGTATCAGAGGGGCTACCCTCATGGCACTGCTTTGAATGTGTTTTATTTGTGGTTCTGGTTGAAATTGACTGTCTTGTTCTGGCCTTTCTTAATGATTTTTTTTTCACGCAGCATCAGTAAACCTTTGATCACACTCGTCTGACCTGCCGGCTGTTTTCATAGCACCTTCTCACCAATTCATTTTCTCTGGCCTGGATTCCCACCTCCCGGGCCCTCCCCCACCAAGTTTTCTCTCCTTTTCTCTTTCTCCTTCTTTTTTTTCCGTTTGTTATTTCAGCCTATTGTCAATTTGGTGGACATGCCCTAGCAGTTCTCACAGGAAGTCAAAGAAGAAGTAAAGAAAACAGGAAAGAAACCCCAGTATCACACTTTCCCTCCAGCTATTTGTTTATTTGGGGGAGCAGGCCATCTCTCAGAAGCTCAGGTTTTGAAGCTGCAAAAAAGCATCCAAGCTTCTGTGTTGTTCCCTCTCAGTAAAGAGAGATCTCAGAAGCTTTTGCAAGCAGTGTTTGATTAGCATTTCCTATGGCGCAGCACCACACATTCAAGCCTACCTCACGTAGCCTGGAGACCTTTCATAGAAATCATAGCAGCTAACTTGCATCAGGCAGATAAAGATATCGAGGATGAAGCTCCACTCGCAGGATTCACATTAGATTTGTAGTACTGTGGAAACTGACACCACGCACGGCTAGCAAGTGCGTGTCAAAGTCAGGTATTAGTCTGCCAGATGTAAGTGGAAAAAGAATGCTACTGTCAATAGCGCCTGCTCTCAGCTAGCAAATTAAACTAAGTCATGAGCTCTTCAAAAAGTACATTTTGAAATGATACGTCAGGCTTTCAAATACTATTTTCTTCAAGATCCCAGAGGATAAATTGATAGCCATTGTACAAAGAAAGGAGTAGCGTAGGTATTGGTGTTTTCTAGGGTGAAAATCTTCCGACTTACAGAGTAGAACACTTCTCCATTTAAAACACTGAGGTGTTATGCTCACATGGTTTCGTCTTGGAGTGGGAAGGCAGGGTTTTTAAATCCTACCTCAGCTCTGGTTCTGACTTGGTGTATGATCATGGCCAAGCACTATCTCAGCAGTGGTCTAGAAGGAGTATAGAAATGCTCACCTCTTTCTGAAAGACATAGCGAGGTTTTCTCCATAATTATTTGTGTTCTGTAAGCTAAGCACAGCAAGTGCAATAGTATACACAGGTTGGAAAAGGATTGGGTGGAAAATGAAACTATACAGGAAGGAAGTTCCAAATGGCGGGCAGAATGGCTAAAACTAAAGAGTTCAGAGCCAGAATCTGATAACATTAACGGCAACTTTCATGTTGATTTCCAAGCTCCCCTGTGTTGGAGACGTCAGCAGATGGGCTCACGCAAGGAATAAGGATGTAGTCAAAGAGTGCAATAGCAAATGCCAAAAAAAGTTTGTAATTTCCTTTCCTTGCAAGGGAATTTGAATCAGTTTGTCATTTACTAAGGTAAATAGTATTGCAATAGCATTGCTAAGCAATCAGTGCTTTCATGCTAGAGGAGGACTAATATGGAAATGAAATATGCAATGAAATATGAATCACTCGATAAACTGATCTCAGGGAAACAACTATTTTTAGTGGCATGAGGTGGAAGCAGAGAACCTAACTGTGACAATGAAATGTCAAAGAAAGACTGAATGACAAATGTGACTTTGTTTGGGCTTTTCTTTAAAGCAGCCTGATATAGATCCTTTTTCACACTGGCTAAGACAGATTTTGTGCAAGCGAGGTTAGGGAGACAAATACATGAGAAAAAGGTGATGCTGCAAGAGAACAGCTGGAGTATTGCTCATGCATTCAGACAGATGCCCGTTGAAGGGACAGTGTATCCTCTTTTGAGCTGTAAGTGCATTAACACCACTCCAGCAAGAATCACAGCAGCACATCTAACAGATGCCTGTGGGCTAGATCAGAGTTTTATGGGCAGCCTCAATTTTACAAAGGGGTTCAGACTTGCTGTCTTTTGATAACATTTCACTACACATGCATACAACCCTAGCCACAGTACCCGACTAACACCAAGATTGTTTCAATATATAAAAGAACCCTGTGGATCTCATGTGGAGTGCAGGCAAGTGATGCCAAGAAACTACTTCTATGGCTAAGGGATAGTCACCTATGAAGAGCAAGAGTCACCTCTTATGAGCAGGATTCTGACCCAAAGATTTTTAAATGCACATTTTCACATCCATCCTGATTTTAATTTCAGTGATGTCAAAGACACAAGTCTGTGTTTCCAGACATATGCCGTTTCTTTTTCTTTCTGACTGTGTAAAATGTGAGGTCACATGCTGAAGATGCAGAAGCACCTTATGATTTTATTATTATTATGTTTTCAGTAAATGATTCAAACGTTCAGTTCTTGGACCAAGATGATGATGATGATCCAGACACAGAACTGTATCTCACGCAGCCCTTTGCATGTGGAACCGCATTTGCTGTCAGTGTGCTGGACTCTCTCATGAGCGCAGTAAGCAAACCAAACCTTTTTTCATTCTCCTCCATCAGACTTATTGTGAAAGAGTATGAAAGTGTAATATCTGTTCCGCAGGTAGTTAGGAAATGATACTTTTTTCCTAGATGTCAAGAGAATTCCAGAGCATAGGCAAGGGTTTTTTCTCAGTTGGATCCAGAGACCCTTAAGCAGCTGAGATACCCAGGACCACCATGATTTTTAAAAGCAACGAGTGTCACATGCAGCCTGAAGGATAATAGTGTCCAAAAAATATTGTATCTCCCTTCTAAAACCCAGACCGAAATTCAGTGTTAGCCTCTGCTCACTGTTCATGTCCGACAGCGTCAACCATGTTTTAAGCTTGTAATTAGGAACAATTCTGTGAGTGCTGAGGAGTACCAAGAGAACCATATGAAAGCCAATGTACACATCAAGTGAACTTTACTTGTGTGAAGAGAGGTCATACTCTTTTTTCACGAGCAGCCTGGTGAATCCAACCATAAATGCATGCCAGAAACTACAGATGGTGACCTTTGGTTATGTCTACAGTAGGGTTTTTGTTTGTAGCCATAGTACAGTTTCAAATCAAGTGTCTCAGTCATGTTGCTGTTCACCCTCCCCTGCTTCATATTGGCTACGTTTTCAGAACAGGTTTGCTCCGTGCAAGCTGCACTTCTTTCAGAAGAACCCTAAGCTCTGCTAAGCATAGCAAGGTTTTAGCCTTTTGAAAATTTGAGTGTAAGCTTTCAGAGCTCCCCCTGGAATATAGTTCCATGGTGCTGGAAATCAGCTGTTGTAAACCCCACATAATATTGGTAAAGAGCAAACGGGTTTCTTTTAAGGAGCTAAGTCTGACCATCACCTAAAATCAGAATGAAGCTTTCTGCCTGTAAGGAAAAACCACATTGATCTTTATTATTTGATATTTTATTCACATTTAATATTTATGTACCTATACTTCAAATTTTTATTCTCTGCTCTATTCCTCCTATGATCCATCCACAGCTGAGTAGTATCAGTCAACAGTGACAACATTTTATTCTAAAGCAGCATAGAAATTTGCAATAAGCTCAGAAAATACCTTGTTGAAAAGCTATTGGCTATGTTTTACAGACTTGACAAATTCAGAAAGCCTAAGCAAACACACCTAAACGCTATACCTTCTCTAATTAAAATCTCTAGCAATAAAATATTTAGCATTTTCACATTGTAAATGGCAGTAATTTAACTGGAAGGTTCCAAGTTTTATACTGAGAACTGTTCATCTACTCCTATTATTTGAAGCAATGTCCCCGAATGAATCTCTCTGCAGGCCACTTCCAGAGTCCTGGAAGAAGTTGGGTTAATTTTTCCAATCACCGCTGACGTTTCCACAAAAAGAGAGCAAAATGTTGTGTACACCATTGCTTTCTTGTGCAAGCATACATAATGTAGATAATAGAGAGTCAGTAAGGAACATATAGAACAATACTCTGTAGAAATTTCTACCTGGAACTCATCACATAATCCTCACAAGATTTTTAGTTATTGTCATCTTTCATTCACGTTTAGATTTTGACAACACATCCCTCCATTTCTGTAATTCCCTTCTTCAACAGATACCTTTTTCAAACAATGGCACAGCTAAGTGGCATGTTATATGTAGTGTGAAGCCAGAGAAGTGTGATAACAGGAATTGAAAATTCCAATCAAGAAAGAATAAAAAAATAAAAATCAAGAAAAGAAGTTAAGGATCAGTCACTTAGAATTGGTCACTGTTCCATCTTTTCTTTCACTACTTTGCTGATTTGTGGCAGTGTTATTTTCTCTTTCATTCCTCAAAGGCCCAGTAAAGACTTGGAAATGTAATAGCTTCCTAACCCTCCAGAAAGTGTAAGATATGTGAGATGGTTTCCCTTTACTGTCCTTATTCTCCTGGGAAGGATGTATGCTTCTTTCAGCAGATCTCCAAGGAAAGGAGCATTTCTCACGCAAACTAATTTACTCGCACTGTATTATCCCTGGTTTTCTAGAGTGCGCTCGGCTTTGGGGTCCATCATCTATATAGCATGCCTAACTTCAACCAAACCCCAAATCCTATAAACTGTGAGATGTGCAGTTGTACATTCTTCCTATTAGTTGCAGTCTGCAATGCAACTAGGTGGAATTCTGTTAGAAGGAAATAAATCACATTCTGCAGGCCTTTGCCAATTCATTTTGGGACAAGAAAATAGTTCACTATACAGTGACTGAGTTTTATTGTTTCCTAATTTTTATAGCAAAGTTCCAATTTATGATCTCTGTCGATATCTCAGGAATGGCAATTCCTCATATGTGCTAAAATACAAATGCACATTGCGTGAACTGCTTCATTAAGAATTAATCGCTTCTTACAGCAGTGGAGTGTGCCAAACAGGTGCGAAAAGAGTAGAAAATAGAATAAGAGTAGACAGTGGCATAATACCCTTTCACACAGCAGTCTTTCCAATATCCAGGCAATTTGAAACTTGAAGGAAGTTTATATGTAGAAAAAGAGGGAAAAAATATGTATTGCACAGTAATCCTTTTCTATGAAGTGTCTATGCAGAGTCGTATCCTCAAATCACATTGCCAAGTATAATGTGTTGGTTAAAGTATTCAGTTACAGAATACCAATTCAACAGTATTAACCAGTGTTGAAATAGTATTGTAGTATATGTAACTTTATTAATATAGGAATAGTGGTTTAAACCCAGTTTGCAAATCCCAGAAAACCTGTGGTCACTTGCTGAATCAAATCTGAATGCTGGAAGTCTTTACTTTTGTGTTATTGTTATTTCCTGTACATGATAGTATTAGACATTTGAAATTTGAAATTGTCTAATATTTTTCTAAATCAAAGGTAAAACACATAATTAAGTGTACTTCTCAAAAGGCCACCTACAGGCTATCTACAGTTTGTCCTCTGCAGCAAAGGCACATTATCGCAAAGCCTATGATTCACACTGTGGTAGTTCGAAGATCGCTGCTCAGAAAAGAGTAATGAGGTCAGAAACTGCACTGCCTTCTGATGACTTGGTAAGAGTCATCTCTCCAGGCTTAAGCTGAAATGCCTGATTGTACTCTGTGTGAAGACCACACATGTGGTTCAAGTTTTAAGTGTGGCAGTGGCTATTGTTAAAGCACGCCAGCTAGTCATTGTTATGTCTGCGAAGAGACGTCTGCAGTCATCAGAGACTTGAGTGATATAGTAATATTGGTTTTGTCATAACAATGCAAAAACAGGGAAGGAATATTTGTAGTCACACTCAAGGTGGGTCCAGTCCTGGAAAGCAAAGTGTATTTTCTTCACCAAAATAATAACCAGGGGATTAGAAGCATCTTTTAGACAATGTGGAAGTTGTTGTAAAGAGATTGTTTTCATCTAAACAAAACTTACACGACATAAGAGAAGCAAGGTGTTTGGTTTTCTGCAGTACTTTCAAAGGCCTGAAAATCTGGCCTGAGAGCCAAAGCTTGCCTGTGTCTGCCTTTGGTGCCTAAACTACGAAAACCAGAGAAGCTCTGGCAGGTTGGCATTCCTGCCATACATACTGCTGGCATTAGACCAGATAGCATCTGCGTTTCTCCCTTCTGATCTCCAGAACCAGACAGTAAAATTTAACAGCTGATATCCTAGAATGTATGTCCTTGTGCTAGAACTTCAGGTGTAGGTTTTTCTTTTATAACACAAAATCCTATTTCTCCATATAAGCAAAAGCAGCAGAGTGGAAGAAAGTGAAACAGTTAAGAGCTACTTTTCAGTACATCCTGTATTCAATAGTTCTTCCCCCTTCAGAGTTCCTACAGGCTCATGTAGGAAGAAAATAAACTGGTTTAATCTATTATATGGGTATTGTGAAACGCAAGACTCTTTTTGTGCGAGTCTGTTCAGGTGGTTAGCAAACAGCATCATTTACTACAAAGTGATCCAAACTTCTTTATCTTTTGGACACTATTTTGAGCAGCAGTACACTGTCAAACACCGCAAAACCCTGTTGTTTTTTTCTGCTCTTTATCCTATCCTAAAGAACGGTTTAGTAACTATTTAGTAACTGTTTAGTAACTAGTAAGTTACTGGCATTAGCTCAGTCATTTCCCACGTTTGGATATACATTATCCAGTCAACAGAATTCCTCCAACTGGAAAAGAAAATGAAGTTAAAACAATTGCATGAAAGAGATGGTAAAAAACAGCACACAGTAGAGGAGGGCCTTCCTAGAAGAAATCCATATTAAAAAACACCCTAGAAAACATTAAAAAAGAATGGTGATATGACTTGGAAAATGACAATTTTAGAGTAATTATAAATGAAAAGCAAAGTGCTATTAAAGTTAAAGCAATGTTATTAAAAGATGTGCTAATTTTCAGTTAAATTTTCTGTAAAAGACCAATTAGTTTAAGAGGCTTGACAGCATTAACTGCAAAACATAAGTGCTCTAGTAATTATACTTTAAAAAATGATTGAACAAACAGGAAAGTGTCCCTGAAACATCAGAAAGAGCCACACAACAATTCGGGCACATAGGCTAGGTGGCAGTGCTACCTCAGATATCTATGCCAGGATTTCCTTGCTGTTTACCCTGCTTTAATGTCTATCATGCATTACATTTTTTATTTTATCAAGCTGGTACCTATGTCATATTCGCATTGCAGACACTGATTATAATGATGCTATACAGATGTTCATTGTGGGGTACAGATAATGGCAGCCACAAACAAGTCTGTCTTCAGCTCTGATTTTACAGCCAAGAAAAGGAAATCACTGCCATTACTGGAGAGTGCAGTGTTACTTTAAGCACAGCAGCACCTTTCCAAAGTAATTCTGTGGATTGCTTCCTTACAAGTACTGGCATATCCAGGCCATGTACCCTCCCACAGAGCAAGTACAAGATCACTCTCAAATTAATTTCAGTGTATTATTATTCCAAAGGAAATGGATATCAGCTAGTTCAGCTTTTCAGTGTTCCCCAGCTCCAAACTGGCAAGAGGCAGTGAATGGAGTCTGATTGTTGTCACAACTGAAAGCAGTGGTGGATGGGGTTTTCCTGAGGAGTGGTAAATATTAGCACAGGAGGAAGCAACCCTATTTAGGAAAAGATGCCAAGAAACTACTTCCTCCTCACCCATCCTTTCTTGGTAATGTCTGGGCATTTTCTGGTCAGTTGCAATGCCAACACAGTCCATCCTGAAAGCTGTAATCTTCACTCATTGATGGCAAACGAACAAAACCATCATTTGGCAGCACTCATCCATCTGATTAAATGGTGACATCCACATCAGTCATGGCACGAAACCCAAAGGAAGCCATTGTTCCAAGAGAAATGGTGGTTCCTTTGCTAATAAGTGTTGTAGCTTTGCCTCAACATTTGTCTAGCAGTGGGAGGTCCTTCTCAGGTGACAGCATTCAGTTGCATTGACAGTAGACCTGATTCATTTCTCATTTGCATCAGTTTCATAGTAGTATATGGCTACCAGAGTTACTCCTGGTTGGCTCATTCTGACATAAGTCAGAATTGGGCCTATTTTTGTCCTAGTGGGTTGTGATGGGGCGGGGAGGTGGGGAGGGGGGGAGTGGGGAAGGGTGGTGTTCAATTTTATTTTATGTTGTTTTAGTTTATTTTATTGGTGTCAGTAAGTTTGTGACCTGGTAAGTTGTTGTACCGCTGCTTTCAGTTATGAGTTTAGTATGAGATCCATCATAAACTGAGTAATACAGCCACAGTATAATGTGGAGTGGAAAGTGTTGCCAAAAAGGGCAACCTATAATCGCACCTCAGTGACACTGAGGAACAAGTAATTAATTGAAGAATAAACAGTCACGCCAGGTTGTCTGGTCTCTCATCTATTAAACGTCATATAATTACTCCAGACTTACAGTCTCACAAGGGGTCACAATGATTTTTCCATATGTTTAGAAAGGTTTGAATTACACTTGAATGGTTACACAGCCCATCCACGTATGTAAGAGCTGTATAGAGAATAGCTGTTGTTCTAGACCAATTCCTCCTGAACCCCAGGTAATGTCACAATACTCTTCACAGTACACTTCGTATTTGAAAATACATGCTGCCTTATCCAGGGCAATTTAAACGTTTAGAGCTAGTGGGATGCAAATATTTGCTGTAGGACTTGCATTACAGTAACAGTATTTTCCTCTCATTCTAATGTTGTCAAGAGGGGAATGGCATATATGGCTATGGAAATAAGCAGAGGTGCCCGAAGTTCTGAAAATTCAACGTAACGGTGAAAACCATTGCCATGTAGAATTCATGTTCATTGGTTTTATCTGTCATATCAAGGAAACAATGAAACTGAAGTTTCGTTATGCAAAGAAAGACTATCAAAGTAACATGGATAGGGAGTCTGGTCTGCATTTTTATCTCAGGATAAAACATTTTAGTCTGTACCTCAGTTTACCCATGTATTGAAGGCAATTTCACTATATGGATAGAGCGATGAATGTCATTGGAAAAGGTTGTTGAGGTGTTTGGATAACAACACTGAGAGTGCAGTATCCTTTTTCACATGGTGTCGGAGTAGATTTGTTCCAAGTTCTAAGTTCAACAAAAGTCATAAGAGTAGTAATGTGAATCCTGTGTACTCTACAGCTACCTCATTTTCTTCTCACTCGTCCTCCACACTTGCAAAGCTTCTGAAAACTCAGACATTGGTGTCAGCGTAAGCGATGGTGTCTCCTTTTTCTGTTGATCGTTATTTTTTTGCCCAGTATGTTACACTGCAGATACCTAACTGTGTATCTCTGAACTATACCAGTATACTTTCAAGTGAACTTGAAAGTCATTCATTCGGCATTAAATTAATATTTAAAATGCCCATTGTTTGCCTGACAGACCAGCAATGGTACAGATGCTGGCAAAATGTCAGTGTGGAGTAAATCTTTCCTAATAAACCACTCTTACCCTATACCCTAGAGTTTTTTAAAAGGACCACCAGGATCCCAAACTCATCATACATTTATCTGGAATGAACTCAAGATGTTTAATTGATACACGCTTATGTCTGAACACTGTCAAGTCTCGTAATAAGATGTTTAGTACAATACCTCGGTTAGACTGCTAGAGTCCAGCCGCAGTAATAAGCAATGACATTTGCAGCACAAAGGCAGCTCCCCAACGAATTGGTGACAAGAGTAAAAAGGCAATCTAGCCTGCGTAAGCTGTAAATGTGGTCTGAATTTTACAATTACATGTCCTAAAGCCCATTATTAGACATGAAGGCAATGAGAAGGAAAGCAGTCATCGCATCACTACTAACACCAATTATAGGAAACATAAATCATTCAAATTTTTGTACTTTAACAAAAATCAGCCCGAATTGGTGTTTAAAAGGAAGGATCTAGTATAGGAGCCTAATGGGATAGAAGCAAATAGAGTAATTGGAGGCTGCTGTCTTTTCACTTTCTATATAAAATTATTTGAAGAGACAGCCAAGAACTTTAAACAGCAGAAACCCAGAAAAGTTGTAATTTGGATGTCTTCCGTTGTGACTTTAATGGTATTTGCCTAAAGAGCTTTCTTTTATCTTGGCAGACATACTTCAATGACAATATCCTCACACTGATACGGACATTGGTAACAGGAGGAGCCACACCGGAGCTGGAAGCACTGATTGCCGAGGAAAATGCGTTGAGAGGAGGTTACAGCACACCACAGACACTTGCAAACAGGGACAGGTGTCGAGTAGCTCAGTTGGCTTTGTATGACGGTCCATTTGCAGACCTAGGGGTAAGATCACAACAGAGAGGTAGGACCAAAGCCGGTCTTGTGGTCTAGGTGTTGTGTCTGAGACCAAATCAAAAATCTATCCTAATTGGTGCATCATTTTGATTATTCAGTTAAAATGTTTTGGATGGTTTGACACTTTACTACACAGGTGCCAGGTTTGCTCTTATGCTTTTTAAGAAGCTACATTACCTCCTAGCATACTTTCCTGAGTATTCCAAGCAGAGTCAAAAGAAGAAAAGCTTGTCTCTTCCTAGATGTCATCTAAAGAGATGGATGAGCCAATTTGGAGGAAAGAACCCTCCTAATCATAAGGCGCTGTAAACATGAGCAATATGTACACCCTCATCAGGTTTTGATAAGTTTATTTAGTTTTTGCATGGAGCTTTCAGTTCTCAGTTAAAATATATGTATTAGCCTGGAAACCAAGCTGTAACATTTGTTTTCTTCTATGTCCGGATGAACTATACTGAAAGCCTAATTTTCCGACATTCTCACTCCACTATCTTAAGAGAAAAGCTAAAAAGTAATTAGTTAAAAACTAACATGTTTTGCTAGTCAAAGCAATTATTTGCTACCATTTATGAAATATGGCATACATATCAGCATTTTTTTTTAAGTGGGAGAGGTTTTAGTATCCTTTTAACTCCCCAGATCCCTTATTTCAGTTGTCTTTGTCAGCGATTTTATTTGTCAAGATGACAGTACGGCTACTGCCAAAAAGGGTGAAAACTATGAATAATGGTAGGACAACAGATAATGTAATGTATAGAATTATGCCTTTTATGATACCCAAATTGCATTTCCATCCAAAAGCAAGTAATTCTCTCTTACCACTATGGTAACTTTTCAGGGACCAAGGCTGTCAAAAATAATGATCATTTTATATATTTGTTTTTATGTGAAATGAAATGTGTAGTTTATTCATTGTCTTGGGTAAGGAAATTCATATTAAAAACAGGCTGTTTATACATTGTTGGTTTTGTAGAAGATCCTACTGAAAATCCACTGCACTGTCATGGTTTTAAACGAGAAAAGAGCAAAAACGTGCTGTTCTTTTGTTTCTCTTTACCTCCTCTTTTTTTTTTTTTTTTTCTATCTTAGGATGGAGGTTGCTACGGAGATCTATTTTGTAAAGCACTGAAAACATACAATATGCTTTGCTTTGGAATTTACCGATTAAGGGATGCACATCTAAGCACTCCCAGCCAATGCACTAAACGGTAAGTCCAGTCCACCAAAGCAGTTGCGTCCGTAAGGATTTGGACAAAGTGGGTAGAAGTAGGAATCAGTGTAGGTTGACACTGTACTTGCTATATGTGGGATTAGTAGTCAGAATAATAAGAGACTTCCATCCCTGAGGCAGCCAAGCTCTTTCCAGCACCAAATGCATTTTAAAACAAACCAACAAATGAAAAAAGTGGTGGAATCTTGAAACTGAGAAATGCATATATGAGGCCTGTGATGTATATTAGCAATGTTGGATCCTTGTACATGTGGATTTATCTTTATAAACGCTTGGTGACATCACAAATCCACAAGTTGAAAGGAAAAAAAAAAAAAAGAGAAAATAAATTAACCTCACTGCCACCTTCCTGATATACTTGTGTTGGGTACAGTTATAAGCCAGACAAATAACTGTATTCTTTGCTCAGATGACAGTATTTAAATATTTAATAAATATATAGTAAATATATATTTGAACCTGCTTGAAAATGCCATCTCCAGTAGGTCTGTTTTTGCTTTTTATCAATATGGGAATCTGTTTGCTAGAGTCACTACATTCCAATGCAGCTAGAGATCGGAGGGTGAACTGTATGCTGTATTCTCTGAAAAATCATGATGCAGTTCCCTTGGAGAACATCCTACTCTGTATGTCTGTCCCACTCAACAAACATCCAGAGAGCAATATCTGACATAAGATGGCACCAAATAATTGGTACTATGTCAGCTAAAATCAGGTATATATTGAAGAAACAGAAAGACAGAAATCTGAATAAGTATTCATGAGGTAACATCTCTAGAATAATTTTTTAGGTGAAATCTAAACCTGCTTTCTCTTTTTCTTTCTTTATTTTTTTATTTCCTTTTCTGTTTTTCCAGTTATGTTATCACAAACCCACCGTACGAGTTTGAGCTTGTGCCGACAGACTTGATCTTCTGTTTGATGCAATTTGACCACAATGCCGGCCAGTCCCGAGCCAGTCTTTCTCATTCCTCCCATTCCTCCTATTCTTCCAGCAAGAAGAGCTCATCTGTTCACTCCATCCCATCCACAGCAAACCGACCCAACCGCACCAAGACCAGGGATTCTCGGGAAAAACAGAAGTACGTGCAGGAAGATAGACTTTGATGTGTGTACCTGCTCCCACTGTGTGTGAAACTTGCATTCACCACCCATTCTCCCCAGTTAATGTGTCCAACAGTAACGTTCCCCGTTTTTCCATGGAGCTCTCCCTTTTTGTACACATTTTTTGCATATGTATGACAGTGTGCATGAGATTGTCATTTTTATTTCACCACCATAAAACCCTTAAGCACAACAGCAACAAAGCAGACGGACCAAAAAGTTATTTATGATGCTAGGGGAGATAAAAATTCTAAAACCCATAGGCACACTGAAAACTTAAATAACTCACTGCAGTTACTCTACGTATCAGAAAACAGAGTGTATTTAACGTGAACACTTGCTTTTGATGTTAGAGTTACACAAAGGAAGTCATTAGCACAGAAGCGTTGATGTATGTTGCAGTAGGTTTTTATAATCGTATTTACAGGAGTTGCCACATGTAGTTGAAGCTTACAAAACTAACCAGCTGTAAAACAACAACAACAGCAAAAACACTAATTTTTCACTCTCAAAGCTTATATTGTATAGGGCTTACACTCTTTGTATAGATTATTGCTACGCACCTGCTTTATACCAAAGCGATATCAGGGACGAAGATGATCATTTTAGGTTATTCTCTGAAATACGAGCCTTTTGAGATAGCGTTTGTTTTTTCCCTTTAATCCTGAAATTGTCTGGGAATGGAGTTGTCAAACTCCAATGGTTTAATTTCAATTTAGAAAGAGTCTAATTGCATATTAAATTATTCTGTCTATTTATACGGCCACAGAAATAGCTATATTTTCTTTCACTTTTGACATTTGGGATAAAAAGCCATATGTATCATAAATATCGGACGTAAGTCAATAAAAACTGCCTTGCTGGGACTTTTACATCTTTAAAAGGTGAATTAGTCACCTTATGTATAGAATAAATAATGTTCAGAAAAGAGCAAGCATTTTTCTATGCTTAAGTATTAGTTCTCGGGGGACTTTATTCCTTTCCCCAGATGGTAGTTTAGTGTTTCCGAGTTAGAGCAATGGTATAAATTTTCCAATGAGAGTCCCAATACACAAGGACCCTCTGGAAATCCCAGGCAATGTTCCAGCTGGTTTTTTACAACAGGTTTGTGCCAGTACACATTAAGCAGGAATATGAGGGAAGACAACAGAGCACCTTTGAGATCTGAGAGGTTCCTCTCCCAATTGGAAAGAAAAGGTGCTGCACCCTAGATGGCTAACGAGCAGAACAAGAGGGCCAAGGTGAAAACATCCGCTGTGCTGAGGCGTAATGTTCTAGGCACATGCCAGGGTCTGATTGTTGCATATTCTCAGGAATTACTCACTCAGACAGAGATTGTGTCAAGGAGGTAAATGAAGTAGTGGAAAGGAATCTATCCTAGACAGCCACAAAAAGGATACATGAGGCCTAGTGCTTAATGTCAAATGCCAATGTTCCAAAATATATAGAAATAGTTCTAGGCGATGTGAAGAGGTGCTCAGGGTAACCGGTAGGAAGGCCAGGAGAAACACGCCACATCGCTACCCAGCAAGAAAGCGTGCAGGGAGAAAATAAGTACTTTGATGCAGGAGCGATGAGTGTTGTAACGGCCAATCCAGACAAGGTGCTTTTATGGTTAGTGTCGTTTTCTACCTTCCCCTTCCCTGAGCATGATGAGTTTGAAGAATTGCTTGCTGTGTGATTTGACAAAGAAGCCAAGCACTTTTACTGACAAAACCTGGAACCATCTAAGCGGGCTACGGAGAGTGCCACCGTGCAGTGTTAAGCACGATTGGAATGCAGTATATATGTATGTGTGCATTCAAATGTATCTGTAACTCCTGTCAGTGAAATATGCGGCAAATTTTGGTCGCTCCCCCCCCAAACGAGTACATTGCAGTCGCACTTGATCATAAAGACACATTCGTGTGTTTCTTCTTTCAAAGAAAGTTATCGTGTTTTGCCCTGAGAATATTTATGACTACAAGGATGTGCCAGTTAAAGTGCTCAACAGGAAATATGACAGTTTAAAAGCATTGTAAAACTTACATAGCTTACTTCTTTTTCTAAAGTGCAACAAGGATGAATAGAATGGGCCAAGGTATGATAATTAATGGTTCTGCATGACCTAGCAACTGCTGTGGGTTTCCTTCTATAACTTTGTCCTTGTGAAAACTTGTAAGATTAAAAAAAAAAAAAAAAAATAGTAGTTACAAACTTTATGCAATTATTGGCTTGTATGTTTGGGTGTTTGTTTGTTGTTTTTTTTTGCCTTTTTTTCCCTCCAAACCAGAAGTAAAACTGGCTGCTGCTGCTGCTGTTGCTCAGTCCTGTTTTATTTTTGATCCTCTCATCTGCTTGCCTTTCTAATTGCACGTGTCCTCTCGTAAACACCCAGCTCAACGAAGACGCCTACCCTGATACAGACATTACTGTAATTTCCCATTCCTCATTCTAGCCCCGTTCCTCCCTTCCCTGCTATCCCGTCCCTCGTGTATGCACATGAGCATCTTTTTATGTTGGCGATATTGACGGAAGATACTGGAGAGCAGTTATGCATTTTGGAAGAATGCTAATGGCTTTGACACCAAAATGCTTTTCCATTAACGTTTTATCTGTATTCCATTTAGTAGAGGAAGAAAGAGTGTTAATATGTAGCAACTTGTCACATACTAAATAATAATGATTTTACCAAAAAATGGTGTTTGTATAACAGTGCAGCTCAAATAAGGAAGAACATAAACAGTCTGCATTAGAGAAACAACTTGTCTATTTTGTGAGCAACAGAAGAGAAATACCTGATGTCTGAAGTCCTCAGATCATATCGAAGTTAATTTTCCTCTGTCCTCTGACCTTAAGTCTGCAGTACAAAAGTTGTGACTTTCAGTTATGCCTTGAACAATTTTCACCATTAAGTGACCTGATAGTTTCTTTCAGTGATAATGTTCCAATATGGAAATACTAAGGACTTTGGAAGGTCAGTCATGAAACGTAGAGGAACAGTCAAAGTTTTATACTGGAAAATACCAAGATATCTCCTGTTTGTTCAGGCATCTATCCAAAATCAAACTTATCAAACTCATAGTATCAAACTAGAGTATCAAACTCATAGCTACCCTCGATAGTTATGAAAATGGAAAAACTGCACTATTACCGATATCAACAGATGACAAATGAGAGCCGTAAATGGAGGTCCTGCAACTTATCTCAGTCCCAGCACAGTTTCTACAATGGAAACTAGGACTGTAAGTGACTTTGTGGATCTGTATGTCAACACAAAATAATACCTTGGACACCTGCAGGCTCTTGGCACAGGTTCCAACTGGCCTAAACCATTAGAGTCAGGCATTTTCCAGTAAAATCCCATTGTCAAAATAGGGAGTTGAAAAAAAACAGGGAAAAACAAAACAAAACAAAAAGAGGAAGTCCAGTATAGCATTTCTATCCCAAATCTTTAACTGTCTTGGAGCAAAATAAAGGCATGCCCAGAAGGTAAGAATAGTTTCCTTTTTTTTTTCTCTATTCCTGCATATTACTTCCTGCCTACCTCAAGTGAGTTATGCATCTGCCAAACCAAGAATCACTGAGAGCAGAAGAACTTTCATTTTATTATTCTCAGATAGGAAGAAATAGCAGAGGAGAGTTTTCAGCCTAGTTTTAAACACGCTACCCATTTGGGGACAGGGGCTACCCAAACACATGGCCACGCACGCAGTTGAGATGGAGGTGTCAGAAAAAAAAAAAAAAAAACCAAAAAAAAAAACAAAAAAAAACTGGAAATCCTTGTTTGAAGGATTGTAAACTAACTTGGAATTGTGGTGAGAATACAGATTTAATAAAACTTTGCAGCATGTTTAGCCGGTATTTTCTGTGCCTCTGCTCAGACGAGAGGGTGTTTCACACTGACACTTATTCAAAAATGATTGCTCAGGCCAGAATTTTTAAAGCACCAGAGCAATAAATTTGTTCAGGAAAAGTGTGAGAGTCCAATGGAAGTTGATGAAATGTCAATTTTGATCATTGTACGATTAATCATTTATATATGTTGATGCCATGGGGAAGTCCTACACAGGATAGTAGTACCTATTTATTTGTGATACAAGTATGAAGCCCTGTAGACCTCCACAGATGCATTCAGGTGCTGATAGCCCATTACAAACACGAGCGCACATTTGAGAGGAAGTAAATGTTTTCCGCTTCGTGATATTTGAAGGTACCTAGCTGTTCCAATGTCTCCCAAGTGATGTTGTCAAAAACAAACCTGTCAAATAGAGTAAGATCAGTCCCTGATCTTCTTCAAGAGGACTTCAAGAGTGCTTGTTTAAAAAATAGGAAAAAGGCTCTTTCTCTTTGTAACACAGAAATGCATATGGTAAAGATCAATATCCACATGCCAGAAAGGAGAGAAACAGACAGAACATGACAGAGACCCACCACTATTTTGGAGGAGAAACCAGTATGTGAAGACCTGGAAATTTTTTGTCTGGACAGATTTAAAGGAAGAAGGTTGTGGTTTTGTTGGTGTAATTGTTTGTGGTTAGTAAGAGATCTAAAGCTCTGCACCTAGACTTTGGAAGACTGAAAACATAGTAAGGAAAATACGGAAAAGCGTGTGAGGGAAAGAAGGAAGGCCATTTAGTAACTGCAAGCAAAACACACCAGTGGCCACAAGTGAAGATGGGGAGTATCATTCACCTCCCATTTCAAAGTGTAGCGGGCAATGGACAGAATGGGCGATTTGAACAGCAAAAAAAGAGATGAGACAGGTGTAAAACCAGGTCCAAGTGTAGATGCTGGAGATGATAATGCACAGATCAAGGTCTCACCTAAAAAAGAAATGTAACCATCCAATGAAAGGAGAATCTACAGGTTTCTGCACTTACTAATTATCATCCGTATTAATTACTTTCCAAGCGAAGGCAGAAAGAGACTATGGTGTCAATTTCTGGAGATCATCTCTCTGACATGAGTTTCATTGTAAAGAGTAAAACATAAAGAAGTGGCTTGTGGTATACATTCCAGGGAAAGCAGGGGCAACGGAATCACTATTTGCTCACCACAGTTCATCCCAGATCTGTAGTACTAGCACTGTTCTTCCCTTTCTCGCTATAGAGATCACAATAACTTGCAGCAAGTTCTGTTGGCAAGGAAAGTTTGTGCACCGTATGGTAAAAAATATTCTGGAGATAAAAGTTCACGGCGCTTAACTTGCCTCAAAATCATTTTAAACACAACCCATTAGAAAACTGTTAGTTTGAAATTGTTTATATGATCTCTCAAGGCTTTTAAAATATGATAACCATCACACTTTACACCTCTCTGAAAGGTTAGTTTAATCGTAGATCACATAAAATTGGTTTCCACAAATGCATAATGGTTCATGTGTCACACTCGAACTAAATGGTTTTTTAAATGGAGCTGAAATTATTTTGATGTGTACACATTCCCAGATTTTTTTTTTCCTACAACCTTTCCTAAACCAGCCCCCATCAGGAGCTGTTCCCTTAAAGTCTCATTAATAATTCAGATGTTCTGATGACTTTAAAAGATCTATGGAATCAAGGCCTGCCCCTACCTTCCCTCCTCCTCCCTCCCCCCCCCCTTTTTTTTTTAGCTGCCTGACAAAAAGATAAATGAATGTAGAAAGAAGCAGTAGGAGTCTGGCAAGCTGTAGATCATCTCTGAACAGATTGTAACTTTATCATTGTGTCAGGAAGAATAATTTAAAGCACTTAATCAGTTAGCTTCAGTGTGCAGGATGTAACATTATGAATTCCTATCGTCCAATCTGTTCAAATCAAAGGGAACTTAATTATAATAGGTAAGAGAGAGAGATGGGAGAAGAAACAACATCCAGACTCAGGCAACTGTAAGTGGGCAGGAAAACACGTACCCTAATCTGAAGTGAGCATGACAGTGTACATGTAGAAAGAAGAAAAATCTAGTTTTGAATATAGGAATAGCAATGCAGAAAATCTGCCTACCCTCAATAAACAACCCCTAATAATTGATATAATTTCTTTCTCTAAATTCTTTTTTTTTTTTTTTTTTATTTTTATTTTATGCTGTTATAATTGCATAAGCACAGGTGACAAATGTATCGGTAAAAGAGAGGGATTAAGCCCTCACGAGTTTGGGGTTTGGTGCTTGTGTTTCAAGTAGACGCCTTAAATATGTAGGAGGTTTCATTGCCTAAATTTCTTATTCACCAGCATGACTGAGAAGGACAGTAAGTTGGTAAATCCATGCAGCTCTTCAGAGCCCCTACCTTTGAAGCTAGTCACTTATTTTTAATCCATCTGGGCTTAGATAGTTGTCCCTCACTCTTCCCAGTCTTTCTATTTCTGTTCTTGGCCTCACCTCCCAAGCTTTTGTGCTTGGTCTGAGGTGGATTTAGTTGTGTGTGTGTGTTGTTGCATTCAGTTTGGTTGTTGTCGTTCTCTGTTTCGTTTGTAAATTAGCACCCCATCCACTCCCGCCCCAATTCCAGCCAGGATACAGCAGCATTTCAGGGTTAAGCAGAAGTGCTAGTTTGTATTGTATGGTGAGAAAACAAGGCCTCCAAAGCTATTTTGGGTTCCCCATTGTGATGAGAAGCAGTCTATAAATGTAAGTGCAGCAGCTCTGCGGCAGCTCACGTTAAACATGGCATGCAGCAATGGAAACATCACCACTGCAGAATCGCATCTGCAGAACCACGTGAGCTCATTGCTCTGCACACCCACCTCTGGAAATGAGGGACCGAGAGAAGTGGAGGAGCAGAGATCCTCCTCACAAATCCATGCCATAAGCCACAGAAAGATGAGCCATTTCCAAGTCCTTGCATGGAGCCAAGTTGCTTATCTGTCAGTTAGAAATTATACCAGTACTTGCTCTCTGGAGCATGTAAGAAAATCGTGGCAATTTTGGTTTTTTTTCTTGCTGTGAAATTTGAGAAGTTTTTGTCCACACCTGCTTATGAGCAATGCAGGATGGCACCTGCAAGCCTAAGCAGTGAGGGTGTAGCTGCAGTATTACAGCCTCTCAGCAGGCACCCTCCTTCCCACATTGCTGCCAGCCCACCCCAAATCAGTATCATAAAATTCCTTCTATGATCAGGCTCTGCTGAAAGATACGGAAGGAGCAGGGTCCCCTCTGATAAGGACATCCTCACTTCCTTTGCCTTGCTGTCATGCATCACTACCAATCCATTCAGGCCTGACACCCCACTACAGTCTCCTGCAGCATCAGGTAGGTCACACACCTTCCCAGACCCGAGGGACTGGCAGCCAGGCAGCCAAGTCACAGCCATCCCCTGCAGGATCATGTCCCTCTGGCCACAAGAGCTGTGGGACACCCTGTGGGTCTTCGTTGTGCATGAGAGCGAGCACCCACAGCTGAAACAGTTCAGAGATGTCTTTGACTTCTGGGGTACTTCTCTGTATAGAACTCACATGCTCTTTCCTACATCATCCTTACTCCATCCTCTCTCCCTGGCTTCTCAGTGTAACCCTTTATTTTTAGCAGTAGTTCAAAAAAGGGATCAGATGACATTCACCAGGGCATGTAAAAAATAAGTACAAAAGCTCTCACGTCCAACAAGAAAACTGCCAGTTTTCTTTAACTTCTATCAAATATGCCAACACGTCATGTTCCGTCTATAAAGAGTATTTTCAGAGGCATTAATCTAATGCACTGTACTGCTAGTAATTAGTCAAAGTCACCTTCTATTGATTGCCCTTTCTCTATAGACTTTACTGACTGCTACCCCCTCCCCTTGTTCTGGTGTCTGTGTGTCTGTGCGCTTCACTAATGAGAAATTCTCATTTTCCCTCCTTATTCTGTCTCTACCCACTTTGCTCCCTAGCAGAAAAGAAATGGTTTACAGATGAGCCGGATAATGCCTATCCCAGAAACATTCAAATCAAGCCCATGAGCACTCACATGGCCAATCAGATCAATCAATACAAATCGACAAGCAGCTTGATACCACCGATCAGAGAAGTTGAAGACGAATGTTGACTCCTTCAAGGCCAGAACTAATTTTTTAAAGCCCGACAAACTTCATGAACGGTGACGTGACATTTATTCCTCTTACATGCCGAACCACTGACGGAGAACTTTTGAAGGGCAAGCGTAACGGGGAAACAAAGTAGACAGATCTTTGTTTGTCTGCCTTTAATATTGCTTCCATGTATTTTGGAAACTTTCAGTTTTAAATGAACATAATCAGAACTAGTCATGTATAGCCTCTAGCAGTTTAAATTATTTTTCTTTATTAGGAAAAATATATATTTTTTCTTTTTTTTCTTCATTGTCAAGTATTTTCCCTTTCAAAAACTGCAGATGTGGCCGGACTCCTAAGACAGGAAATAATAACCAAAAACACCACATCCCAGTCTTCAGCCTAAAGGAGGATGATGGTCACAGTTATAAGGATATATAATCCAGGGAGACAAAAGAGATATTTACAAAAAGGAAATAAGTGAAGGCCCAGCTTGTATTGTAGTAACCCCCCCCCCCCCCCCCCCAAAAAAAAAAGGAAGGAAAAAAAAAAAAGAAAAGAAAAGAAAAGAAAAAAAGAACAGTCCAAAACATGTTTCTTTACAGAAGGATGTGTATTTTGTTCAGCATTGACACCAGCTCTTAATAAACTGAACTTATTTATTTTCAAATGTGAAAGTCATATTTTTGTACATGTAACACGAGACATTATTGGTTTTATTACAGTATACAGCTCACCCTCATTGCCAGTGACATGCAAGTCCAACCACCCCATGCACTGTAATGCCCCTGCAGAAGCCCCACATCCTCTATAGCCCTCTGCGCTGTCAAGTGTGCTGTGGAACATCATCACCCCAAGCCGAGGGACATGTAGGCAGGGCACTCACAGGCAGCACTTGTTATAAATGGCAACCCTGGCTTCAGCAGAGGCTTATTCCAGACAATTCCTTCTTTGCCACAGGTTACAGCACTGTGAGCTGGAGCACCTAAACAGTGTGTGAACTCATAAGCCAAAAGCTTTCTCATCCACCATATTCTGTTGGTTTCTTAAGACTGAAGTACAGATGGGTCCGCATCAGTCTTGCGTATCCGACTCAAATTCTTCCTGATCCACAGCAAGCTTTAGCCCCAGACCTGTGGTGATAACACACGCCTCCATGAAGGGCATTGAATTGCCTTTGCTGACCGCTGATCAGGATAAAAACCTGTGGCTTTGCCTCAGCTTGACAACGTCAATGCACTGTTGTCAGTGATGTGCTGTACCAAGCAACATCACAGTTTGGCAGTGTCTTTTTTTCCCCGTTATGTATCTATTTTAGTTTGCTTTGCGGGGACACCATGCTTAAAGGTAAGGCAATAACCAAATCAAAGTAAAAATAATGAATGTATTTATCCTACCTTACAAAAGGCCTTCAACAGGTGCCTTTTGTGTCAGCAGTTTCACAAAGTTGCCAACAAGCTTTCTAGCCAGCAGAGAGAAAAGTGCTCTCATATCTGTGCTGCAGTATCTATTCACACCAAGCATTTGGTGGTCTAAATGATTCAGTAAACCTGTCTATCTATCTCAAAGTAGCAACATCAGATAAAATTGTGTGAAGAAAAAAATAAATAAAATGAAAAGGCTGTGATATTAAGGAATAAAACAACAACATAGGACACAGTAAGTAGGAAAGGCAGCTTTTCATGGCGCAAGATAACCGTAGGCTCTGTAATTCTGCAGAATAGTGAAATACCGCAATAAAACATACCGTGGTACTTTTATCATTAGAGAAATATCCGTGAATCAATCTGATACAAAGCAGATTAATATGTTGTCAAAACAATGATGTCCACTATGTAATCCAACATTTAAGCTAAGCTCTCTCGGCCTTGATGTTTGTCCACTGGCTGCGGTACAAATGTAACCATACTACCACCTTATAGGCTTTATGCTGGAGTGACTTCTTGGACTGCAACTACTTTGTTGCTACATTTTGTAGAATAGGTATTTAAAGAAAATAACAGGACTTGTTATGCAGTATATGTAGAATTGGATCGTTTAAAATATTTCAATATCTCCTGCAAAGAAACAAAACAGTTTAAGCAGTTTCTCATTACTATTTAGACCATGTTTCTCTCATTTCACAGTCCCAGAACAGAAGATGATTTGGGCGAGTTCTTCCAATCTATGCCACTCAAGCTAACGACATGTTATAATCTGCATCCAGTTTCTGCAGTGGGTCAAGTTAGGCCTTTTCTTTGAAGTCAGCGCTCCTTTTTCATTTATGAACTGCTTTCATGGTAACCTCAGCGGAAAAAGCCAGTCCCACTTACAAGAGAAATCTTGAAAATGGTGTCAGACCTCACCAAGTTCGCATTAATTGTCTTTTTCAAAGACTGGTGTGTAATCTATGGGGAAAATTACACCTGTGCACACTGTGCCAGTTCTGAGTGTCCGTCCTTCAGAATAGAGTACTCAAAGTACAAAACACACTAAAGAATCAAACAAAACAGTCCTACATCATTAAGGTTTGTGTGTCTGTCCCGGGTAACCGTCATACAGCAAAATGCCAAGCTGCCAACTGTACACAGGTAAAGGACAAGCTCTGATCACTCTCGCAGATAGGTGTGTATATAAGGGTAGGAAGATGGATCAATACGAGAGACAAGCAGGTATAATTGTGCTGTTTGGACTTCCCAGTTATAGAAAACCTAAGAGAAATCAAAAATATTTTCTTGCTCTTCTTCTCAGTGATCAAAAGCTCAGGACTGGCTTCTAGCAATTAGCTGGAGGAGCATGTAGCAAGCCTCTTGGAGATCTTTAACCCTCCACCATTAAACACCACAGTAAGGTCAGCACTAAGGTTTGGATGTATTAGTGGCATCACAGCAAGGGGCTGGGAAAGTGGCCTAAGGACAGCTGACTGGCAATACGAGGAGTGAAGGAGAAATGAAATTTTGAGGTTCCTGAAGAAATCCTAGCCCTCTCTCAAAAGAGAAGGAAAAATGGAATTTGTGCTTTCGCAGGAGTTGCATGCACGATCAGTCAAGGCTAAACAGGCTTTGGTGGTTGTTAATCAGGTGGTGGATACCATGTATGTGTTTTCACGTGTGAATGCACACACACACATATGTGTGGATACAGACACATGTATTTGGGGTGTTTGTAAGTATTAGGTACAGGTCAGAGCCACCCCCAAAGGATGACAGTTTTGTCTTTTAGGGGAGGGGGAGGATGGCAGAGATGAGGTGAAGATGTACACAAAGAGAAAGGGCATACATCACCCAAGGGCTAACACATGGAGGAAATGTATCTACTGGTCTCGCATGGTCTGAATACAGAGAAACCACTCTAGGTGGCTAGCTGCATGCCAGCCATATGCTTACAGCGTGCTGCCAGCACTATGTCCCATATGCACGTGCTGGAATGCTAGCACAGTGCCTGCAAGCCAGCCGGTCTCTGTCTAGTGGGCAGTATTTTAACAATGCAGCCCCTGAATCACACCAGCACCAGAGTGAAAGGACAGAATTGCCTGCTGCCCTGGCATTGGAGAGGGTGCTGCTCAGGCACTGTGCGCAGCCCCCTGACAGCCACACATAGCACAAGTTAATGCATAAAGAGGATAGTCTGAGCCTAAATGCAATGGGACTGTTTTAGTGGTGTGTGTAAGGCAATGGGCATGCAATGTATTGTTTGGTAGGGATAAAATTGGAAAACAAAAAGGCAACCACAGTTTCTTGAAAACTGCAAAGACCATCTAAAAATGCCATCCATGTTGACAACTCTTGCGTGTCGAACTCAGCATCTGTGGTTAAAAAGCAGGTGCATGTGGCTCAAAGTACAAGCCTCTTGGTTGGGGACAAGGTCACTTAAGCAGCACTACAGGTTCATGAACAATGTTATTATTCCACCTATGGCACGCAGAGACCCTAGCAGCCCCAAAGACAGGCATGTGAGGACAGGCAACAAGCAAGAGCACAGCAGGGACATCCAGGTTTTCATACAAATGTCAGTGTGCAACTATTTCCCATGTGTGTATGAAGGGAAACTCAGCGATACTTATACAAGGTGAAGACAGTAAAAATGACTGTAATGAGGACCCTGTGCAGCCTTATCAAGCCACACAGATGTCTAGTCACTGGGTCTTCAGAAGCCTATAGGCTGTTATAACAGCTGTGGATGTACAGGAAGCCACATTTAGACACAGTAAATATTTTTTTTTATTCTTTTTTCATTTGTAAAGGAAAAGCATCCCAATGAGTCAGATCGCATGCATAGGGAATTATCCTCAGCCAAAAACAGAAAAATGGGAAAAGGCGTTGACACTGAATATGCAACAGGACACTAGAACAATGGTGTCTAAATGCTTTTTTTACAGGTCGACAGGTAGCAAGAAGAGACACCGTTGGCATTTGTTTGTTGTGTGGTCTGGTTTTGGTTTTGGTTTTGCCAATGAAAGGAGTATTTGCACATACTGAAGTCTTTATAGAGTAGGAGAAGGAAAGGAAACTGTATTCAATCACAGAGGATTGCTTCTGGCAGTTCTGTTTGGGTGCGAGCTAAGTCTAGAAGTAACCGGATGCATAAACGGATGCATGATGGAAGCAGCAATGTAAAAATCCTACATGTTTGTCCTCACTGCCCGTCACTCATCATTTAATCCATAAACCTGTTAACAACTTTCCCGGGACACGGGGACACTCGCACGGAATCAGGAAAAAAACAGAGCAGGCATTCACAGATTCTCATCGCAAAGCATGTTCCTAAAGGCTACTGCAGAGCAATGTATTTGAAATGAGAGCATACTATGTGTGGGGTGGGGGGGAGAAAATTCATGGGGAAAGCTGTTATCATTGTGAATTTCCTCAGCATCAAAAGAAGCATGCATCCCACCTTTCATTTCTAGTTTAAAACCTGCCTAAAACAAGCATGCAAAAGGGGAAAAGCAGGACAAAGTGAAGACAGAAATGCTTTCCTTGTGTTGTGAGGGCCTGGGAACATCTATCACAGTCAATGGCAGATGTAGAAGTAAAAAAAAAAAAAAAAGGAGGAAATTAAAAAAAAGGAAGAATAAAAAATAAACAAACAAACAAACAAACAAACAAAAAAAAAACAGATGAAAGGTGAAAGAAGAGGTCTGTGTATTCCCTCATTTGTTGTCCTCTCCCTGCCATCCGAACCACCATTGACCACAACATTTGAACATGAATTTTATTTCATGTAGAGTCCAAGGGTGCTTTACCAATCTCATGCCTGGCAGACTGTTTTGATTTTAATTTTATTATATATGTAGATGTCATATATAGATCTGGTAATCTTCAGTTAGCAGGCATACTATCTGTAGTGTTTTTGTAGTGAGTAATATTAGTAGCTGTCAGTACACCCCCATCTGAAACGAAGAAAGGAATCGAGAACCTGCTCAGCTGTCGCCACTGTTCGTGACGGTACTGTGGCCTACAGTCTGCCCCAGCACTTATCAAAGCTATATTTATGTAACCAATGTAGCTATCCTGCACAGACAGACATTCTCTGCTATAGAACACGCAGCCATAGTGAAACTAAGTAGTCTTTAATGTTCAGTAGTCTATAGAACCAAGTAAATTCTACTGAAATCAATAGATTTCTATGCTGCCTGTATAAAGTCTCTGTGGAGGAAAGAAAATTTAAGAAGTACTTGTGTATCACTTTGGGTCTAAATAACAGCAATAGCTAACTTCTTATGAATCTAAAAGACGGGAATGCTGCATTCAATTAGAATCTCAGTGAGGTTAAGGGAAAGCTTCTTTCTGCCTCAGTCAATGCAATTTAAAGGAGAGCTTTATAACCTAAAAACAACAGCAATGATATATAGACAGTTGAGTACGTGTAATAGGAAAAGAGATTTTTTTTCAGAAATCAAAAATGGGGCATACGAGCATTGTGTTGACTAAAAAATTACAAAAAGGAGCCATGCGAAAAGGTCAGCAGAAGTTACACCAAGTAGCTGTTCAGGAGTGCCGCTACTGTGACAGTGTATCTCGGGACACACATGCCTAGCCAATGCAAAGAATGTCATGTCAGTTTATTTAAAAAAAAAAAAAAAGTCAGTGATAGAATGTGAACTTTTGCATTTTTGGAGAGGGCATGGCTATTTTTTCTTTCCTTTCCTCAGAAAAATAAGTAAACAATTTAAAAATAAAATAAAATAAATAAGATGAGGCCAAGAAAACACACACAAAATCATGTATACAGCATATTCTGATGCTACACCTGTCTATGTAGTTGTAGGTTGGGGGTGGGCTTGGGGAAAGTACACTGAGAAACAACTATCAACTTACAAGGAGGTTCATGGAGAAAAAGGAGTATGACTTCATCATTTTACATTTTAACGTGAAGGATTGGCAAGAGAACAAATGGTGGTGCTCAGAAATGATCTACCTGACTTTGTCATATGTAATAATCATGAAAAAATATATTGTCCTGTAAAAAGGGTTTGTACATAACTTGTACATGGTTTCATTTTGTATTTTTCTCAGATTAAAATTTATGTATTTGTGTTCTAAAACAAGGAGAGATTTCTCTGTTTGTGTGCCGCATCTTCTTTGAGACAGGCCGTGTCCTGAAACATTGTGTATGCAACTTGTAGCACCGAGTCACTAATAAGACTGTAGTTGTGAAACCAGCACTATTAATACGTTGAACTAAGAGGAACGCAGGCACCTAATGCCCTCACGTGTTTTCCTGGACCAGCCATTGTCTAATAATAATTCATATCAGCCAATGCAGAAGGTCCCATGACAGCTGTAAGCGAGTAAGTCTCCTATAACAACTAATGTCACCCTAGCACCAGTTACGTAGTTCTAGTCACAACTGTCATAATTCTAGGACAATTCAGCTCCTTTCAGTGGCTGAACACAGCATCTCCTGACAACCTTGGCTCCGATTGCTCAGGTTAAAATGGATCCAAAACTTTGCTGGAGGATTCTGATTCCATATCATAAATGTACATAAAATCCAATGGCAAAATTTGGATTATGCTTTCTCCGTTGCAGACAAGGAACCAGGTATAGTCCTATGTCCAGATATGTGCAAGTGACTTTTATTAAGACCAAGAATCCCTTTGGAGTCTGTAAGGTTACCTACATGTGTTTGTGATTCTGCTAATTAAAATAACTGTGTCATCAAAGCTGTTTTCAGCAGTTTTCAGTACCAGGCCATCATATTGGTAAGGAACCACAGTATGATAGACCTTCTCTGCTATGAAACTATGAAGAAGAAAGATGGAGGATAGAGCACTGCAAGCAGTTAGTTTGCTTCCGACCAGGAGATGCACAATATGAAGAAGCTGGGACCGAATGTTGGCACTGGCTTCAGATGCAATCCAGGCAAATAATAGAGTGCCCCAGGGAAAAAGCAATGCTCAATAGTACCTGTGCAGAATTCTGGGGAACTGTGCAACAATGTGGCTTGGTACCACCCTCAGCATAGCTAACCGGTTCCAGCTTCCCTGAGAGCACCTCAAAGCCATCCTTAAGTACTCTCACTGGGGAAAGGAGGCCACACTGTGCCATATAAACAAAGATTTCTGTGGGTAAAACAGTGTGATGGACGAGTGCCTAAATGTTATTAAATCTGCGTAGAGACATATACTGAGATGATCAATACTGTAGCTGGTCATACCAGACCTCATACCCTGTCATGGTCAGGCCCTATCTAGTAAGGCTGATTGCTAGAAGTACTGAAGGAGAATGAAAAAAAAATGGAGTGAGGCACCAGCTCAATAAGTGTCAATGCAGGTGTAATGTGGCACCTGGTCCCTGCACAAGCATCTGGCACAAAGGAGATATTTGTCCAGGCGTAGTTGTCTGTGATATGTAGATGCATATGTATATGTACATATGTGCAGTCTAAAGGTAGAGGTAGGTCTGCTTCTAAGTACTGAGGACATGGCAATTAAAGACCCTAATTAAAAAGCGAGTCCAGAGCCAATGAACAGCTGTAGTGCAGTCCCAGCTTTCAACTGCGTAAGCCTGCTGTTTGTGACGGTGGCAGTGAAACAGTGCTCAGGTAGTGACAGAAGTACAGATAAAAGTCTAGTGAAAGTATGCACTGGTCCCCTGAGATTACCAACAGTATTGTTTGCTGGACCAAGTGTGCTCCCTTCCCAACATTCGACCCTCTGTGTTGGGTCTGTCTGAGCTGGAGTCACCTTTTCCCTCCAGCAGCCCACACAGCGCTGTACTCTGCACTCGTAGCTGGAACAGCCCTGATATCACTCCAGTGTTGTGTCTATTGCTGCGTAGTGCTGGCACAGCATCAGGACTCCTTCCAAGCCCCCAAGAGCCAGCAGACTGGGGGTGGGCAAGTGATGGGGAGGGGACATCGCCGGGGCAGCTGACCTAAACCAACCAAAGGGATATTCCATAACACCTGATGTCACACTCCGCAATAAAAGGGGGGGCTCTCGTGGGGCAGGGGCTGTTCCTCCTAAACAACCACTACGCGTTTGAGGCCCTGCTTCCCAGCACGTGGCCGAACACCGCTCATTGATGGGAAGTAGAGAATTATTTTTTTCCCTCTCTCTGTGCTTCCGCACAGACTGATTGTTTCTTTTGTTTCTTTTTTCCTCCCCATTCCCTTTCCCTTTAATTAAACCTTTCTCATCTCAAACCTCAAGTTCTCTGTGTTGTATTTTTGAGAGCAGTTGTGGTGGAGCTCGGCTGCCCACCTGAGTAAAACCACCACACCCTCTCTCTTCCTGAACACTGATAATCCCTTAGGCATAGTCAGGAAGTCAGGTAAAAATGAGAAATGGGGTTCCTATCACCAGACCGTGACTGTGGAACATGCGTGGGCAAGGTACGTGCAGGTTGATCTCCTTTAACCTCCCCTTTAGTCACGCGTGGTCTTGTGGGGAGTAGCGCTGTCAGGTCATGCCATCACAGTACTGCACGCTGTACAGCACTGAAACAGAGCACATCACTGAGCGATAGCACCTGATGTCCTGTATGGTACACAGTAAGAGTGGCAGAAATTGCAAGGCTGGATAGATGTATATAGGATCAGGTCATCCTTCCACTTTCATGAGCACCAGGAGAATGAACTGAAACATGGCATGATAATGTGCATATTTATATATATATGTACCTGTATACAAAAAACACGCGTATATATACATATATACGTATACACGCAGACACAGACATGGCGGGCACAGCCTTTATTTTGGCACCGAGGCCCCTTGAGGCAGTCGTGAGAGCGGCCGGGCCCTGGCAGGCCTCACGGGGGCGGCTGACGAGGTGGGGCCGACTGCGCGCACAAAGGCGGCCCCTATGGGGTGCGGCGACCAGGGCCGGCAAAGAGGTACCGTGCGCGACCCTGAGAGCGCAGGCAGGGTCGCCTCTCAGTGAAAGGCTGCGGCCTCCAGGGGCGTCTCCTGGGGCGTCTCCCAGGGACTCGCGGTCTCAGCCCGTGACCCGGACAGAGGAGCCGCGACCCCCCACGGGGGCAGATGCCTATGTGCAGACAGAGCCCTTGATGACCGAAAAAGCTTCCCGGGCCGCAAGTTGCGGGGAACTTCACATTCCTGAGGGCCCCAGGGCCAAATTGGGCGTTGTGGGTGCAAGTATGTCCAGGTGAACATAGTTTTTGAGCAAGTGGCCACCTGGCAAGAGGAGCTCTACAGGCTGAAAGGCACATGGTGATCCAAATGAGAGATTAACACATGTTATCAAGCACTGGCACCATCTGAGCCGCAGTCCTGCCTTACATCCTCTCAGGAGACTGGTGAGGGAGCCTCCAATCCTGCATTGGCATGATCAATGGACTCTCAAGACAAGGGAGGCTGCGCCCTTATCTTTGCTGAGAGCTGACAGGGGAACATCCTCCTAGCTCCTGAGTTACCCCTACATGCTAAACATGATGCTCTGGGGCTCATACAAGTCAGGGATAATAATAACACAAATAGGGGCTTCCTGGTGTTGTTCCTCCACACAACTACCACCCATTCTTATTCTTTCACTTAGAGACAACTGAGGTCACTACAAGGAAACTACACGGCATCAAAAGGGACTCTGAGTCCCCCAGAAAGATGTTGAATGGACTGGGCACCCAGGTATGGTTCTCCTCAATCCTCCCTGTCAGAGACTGGCACCCAGGGAAGAGGCAACGTACAGATGAGGTGAAAGATCAGCTGCGCAGCTAGTGCCATTCTTGGGGCTTCGGGTGCTACAATCTCTGACACTTTCCTGAGAGGCTGGGAATGCTGACGCCAGATGGGCCCCACCTGTCAAAGTGGTGCGAGAGCCTGCATGTCTGCTTTGAAAGCTACACGGCAGACAGCAAGCACTCCGGGAGACTCTTGGAATGCACTGGGAACAACACCTACTTCCTCATCCGGGCATTAGCCAAGCCAAGCCAAGCAGAAGAGAGGCTTTTCTGGACCCGGTTCTCACCACTGTAGATGACCTTGAGATACACATTAGAATCGGAGGTGGCCTGCATTGCAGGGACCTTGCCCTGGTTGGCTTCGTGATCTCAGGGGACGTGAGCCTTTCAAAGACCAAGGTCAGGACCCTCACCTTTAGAGGAACACACTCCCAGTTAGTTATTCTCCCCATTAGTGGAAGAGCGCCCATGGGATGCACTGTCCTTGGGGACAGAGGATCTGGTCGGAGCTGACAAATCCTTGGGGATGCTTTTCTGAGAGCAAGCGCCAGACCTCTCTATTCCCATATCCAATAAATCAGACAGGAAGGGCAGGAAACTGACACAGCTGGGCAATACCCTCTCAGTCAACCTTAGGCAAAAGAAAGAAGAACCTGCACAGACAGTGGAAACAGGGCTGTGTGCCCAGGTACACGTATAAAACCACTGTCAGGACATGCACAGATGGGATCAGTAGAGCCAAGGCATACCTAACACACCTAACCGTGGTGAGGGATGCAAAAAAACAAAACAAACAAAAAAAAAGGGGGTGGGGGAATTCTATAGGTACATTGGCCAGAAAAGTAAAAGACTACAGAGAGGAGTGTACTGCCTCTAACAGATGTTGTTGGAGGGCTGGTAATGACAGGACTAGAGAAAGCTGAGGTACTACACGACTACTTCTTTGCCACAGTCTTCACTGGCACTC